ATTCGTTGAGGATTGTTGATTTGAACTCGGATTATTTATTGGATTTTAATTTAGGTGTTATTCGTTTTGGACTAGAATTTGGATTTAAATTTAAGGTGTTATTCGTTTAGGAGTAGGATTCGGATTTGAATTTAATGTGTTACTGGTTTAGGACTAGGATTTGAATTTGAATTTAACGTGTTATTGGTTTAGGACTAGGATTTGGATTTGAATTTAATGTGTTATTGGCTGTCTAGGATTGTTATTAGGACTAGGATTTCACAATCCACATTTCATTCCAATTCTATAGTTTTTAATGAGAAATTTTTAAAGAGAAAATCCAAGTTAAAATTGATGGATTGTGATGTTACTATGTGGATTTCCTCTCTCCTCTTCTCTTTACTTATTTAAATATTTAATATATTTCATTTTATAATATTCCATATTTCTAAAGTTATTATATATTAACAATGAAATGTATTTATTTTAAAATATTTTTAATCAACTTCTATAAATTTATATAATTCGTTTAAAATGAAATATATTTAATTTTATTTAATCACTTAATATATTTAATTTTTAATATTAACTTAGATATATTCATTATTTAACATTTCTTAAATATATAAATATTTCAAATATTTAATACTATATTGTATTAGTATACATTTTGTTTGAACTGTTTACATGCATTGCAAGATGTATTTAGTTTTGTTGTTGTCATCTGTTAATGGAAATGAGGGTGGTCTTTTAAATTAATATTTATTTTTGTTATTAATGATTGTTATTCAACATAATAATTTTATTTGAAACTCCTAACGCAAATAATCTACAAATCTAAAATTTAGTCCGAGAATCCGACCATCAGTCTACGAATCCAAAGCAAAAGTTCAAGAATCCAAACGAAAAGTTCAAGAATTCTACTCACAAAAATTAAAATTCAATCCAAAAGTCCGGGACTCTAACCATAAAATCTGAGTCCAGGTCCCAATCCAAGAATGTCGGATTTGTGGATAACTTTCTGAGTCCAAATTAACAGTCCGGAATGAATAACACCCCCTTGAATGCAAAGGCGGGGAAACTACAGGGCATTTAAGTGCAATTAAGCCTAAGGATGTGAGACAACTAAAAATCATGTTCAATGAATGAGTATAACATAAATGAAAATATGAGATAGAATAAAAGGTGAATACACCTCTTAAGAAATTTTAGATTGCTCCAATCGAGGATAGAACAAATAAGTTTCCTATGCTGGGAACTTGGCATCAACTTTTGAACATTATTCCAGGTTAACCGGCCATTTAAGCCTAGGTCAATACATTTGAAACACCTTCTCAACTTCGATTCAGGATCTTTAACCCATCACATGTCGATGCAAAAAGGCTTGAACTTCAAAAATAGGATGATAGAGCTAATAGCAGGAAATACCCCTGATTCACCAAGCTCAAAACTTTATTAAAAAAATTACTGACGACTCAAGCCTAATCATTCCATTGATTTAGGTCAGCAGATGTTGTAAAAGTAGGTCAATTCATTTGAAACACTTTTTTAGCCTCGATTCAGAATCCTTAACCAATCACATCTTGATCCAAATAGGCTTAATTTTTTTGACTATGATTATCATTATAAAGCTAATGGCAAGAAGTACCCCTGATTCATTCACCAAGATCATAGCTTTTTTTTATCTCAGAAGTCAATTTGATATATTTAACCAAATCCAAAGTCCATCCCACCATCAAACCCAATACTCAACATAAAAAATCATAAAAATAATACCCAAATTGAAAATTTTACGCACCAGATCTTTGAAGATGAGGAAGGCGGCGATCAAGAAAAGGAAGAAGAGGATCTCGAACTCAGCTAATCGAACGAACGCGAACACGGCGTTCACAGCTCGCGTCATCAGTGAGGGTCGCCGGAGATCGTGGCG